CTGGCCCTTCTCACCTCCTCTTCTACCATAAACTCCCAGGCTGCTCCAGGTCACAGGCTTCCCTCCCCTTAGCTACGTGTCCTCCTTGTAAACATGATTTCCCATGTCTCACTTCTCTACACCTGTCCATGTTCATTGTGCTTCTTCTTCTCTCTGCTCAAGACACTTCCAGATGCCTCTGGCTGCTCTCTAACCTACAATAAAACCCTTCCCCTAACCATGAACTTGTTTATTTAATTGTTACTTTACTGTGTCCTCACTTATATCAGGACAGACAACTTGCTGAAAGATAATGAAAATAACAAATATATCAATATCTATCTAGTGTCCATCCATTTATAGATAACTAACCACATTTATAAAGAAATTCAAATTAAAGAACAACACAATGCTGTGTTTAATTGTTAAAGACAAGAGTACATTTTATAATACCCAGTGACATCAAAGATGTACAATAATAAGCATTCTCACACAGTGCCAATCAAGATGCAAAAAAGGTGTACATTTTTTGGCAAAAAGAAAGAACAGAATACTTACCAAAGTTTAAATATGTCTCTGTATTTCCTTTAGCACACATGCACATGTACACACACTTATACATTACTTGTAGGAATTTAACCAATGGATGTTATTGCAAATGGAACACAGGTAAATATTAATCTCAGAATTATTAACGCTTATAAAAGCAAAAATATCAATGAGTTGGTAAAGTAAACTGCTGTTAATACATAAAGTGGAATGTTTTGTAGCTATTAAAATGGATATGTTTGTAGATAGATTGGCTTCTATAACTATATAATATAAAAGAGGAAAGTTAGTTGCAAAGCCATGTGATATTTTGAATGTGTGAGTGGGTGTGCGGGGCATTGTTGTGGTCCTAGTATAGAAAGGCAGTGGTAACATTCTGTACCATTTGAGCTTTTACAACATGATGTATTCCATGGCTAATGACAAATTTAAATTGTGAAGAGATTTCTAGTTTGGAATAAAAATAAACAGGACATCGATTTCAAAGGAAAAGGAAGCATCCAAAATTGTTCAAGAAACGTTATAATCTCTATGGGTAAACAGAGAAATGGGATCATGTTCAAAGTGCTTCTTTGTGATTCTGATATGAGTTGCTTGGTTTCACCCAGTGATTCTGCCACAGCAAGTCACCAGGCAAGTCGCCGCTGGAAGCATAGCATGATGGCAAGATGATGGGAAGGACTGAGGCTCTGGGGTCTTGGAGGCAAACAAGCTGTGTTTTTCTGCAGTGTTAAATGCTAGAGGTGAGAAGCAATGGTGGAAGAAGTGGCCATTCACTGTAGAAAGAGAATCTTTCTAGAGACTTAGACTCACAGAACCCGACAGTAGTATTGATAGAGCCTTGATGGTTACTTTGTCTTTCCTGCCAAGTACAAGTCAGGAGATGCTAAGGAGTTTGCAGAGATATGAGGTAAGAATTCTTGAGGTTTTCCCAAACCCTTAGAGGATGCTCATTATTTATATCCTGAAGTTTGTCTGATGAGTCAAGAAGGATCAAGAAAGACCCATCTTTCCAGCTATCCTTTGACAACATTAGTAGGAATGAATCAAGAGGCAGGAATGTGGAAGAAGCGTTGGTCACAATCTTTGTTGGATTCACACCCAACATCCCCTCATCTTTGGTGTATTCCCTCATTTGGCAGACATTCTTCCTGACTTTAGTACATCTTTGTCTAGAGAAATGGCAGCTGAGCCCCCACACACTCTAGCATAACCAGCAAAACTTGAGATATTATTTTCTTGGGACAAGGGATAGACTATGATAACAGCTTTGGACTGTCAGGAACTGGTTATTGTTGGACCACACAGAATGGTAAGTTAAATCATCCATCTTTGACATATAAATGCTATCTCTCACAAATCTTGTTATAACAGTCTCTTGTTATTTGATTTTTTTCATTCTCTCTCATCTTATATTCTATCCCTGTAGCCCATGTCACACTCTCCAATGCTATTATTTCTTCTCAACCCTTCTAGTTGATCTTCTATCTGGAGTTCTCTTTATTTTCCCATTATTTACTTACATTTTCCCATGAATGCTCTACCTCCAATCTCTCTTTATGTCCCTTTTCTGTATACTTTCTTTCCATCTCTATTTTAGCCCATATGTCAGTCTGCCTACCTACCACAAATATCATGGAGAAGTTAAACCATAGATTTAGGTCAAAAGAGAGGGTTAGAGAAATGGATCAGTGAAATATCAACTAGACAGTAACACTGTCAAGAACAAGTGATTAGTATAAAAAAACCATGTGAGGGGGAAAATGCAGCTAAATGATAACTAGATTGATGACTGGTAAACAGAAAACAGGATGAGAGAACACTCTAGGCACTGGCGGTGTGAGGCATCAAAGTGTGATCTGCATTCACACATGGACTTTAGAGAGAAACTTAATATTGACTAATGCAGGGATTGTGAAATGTTTAGCTTATAAACTTTTATGTTTCAAAAGTTTTGAAACATGCAGGAATGGTAATTGGGGAAGCTCATTTTGAGTCATAACTTTTCTTACATGTGAGTGGAGTTTTAATGTTTGCAATCAGGTCTGTGACCTCCATCCAGATACCAAGTTCTCTGGGATTACTAGGGAATATGAAACACACAGCAAGCTTCCTCTCTGTTTCATCTGAATCTTATGAGTTTAATAAGAGGAATGAGCTTCCCCCTCCCCCAGGCTTACATTGCATAGACAGACCAACTGTTCCTGAAATGGAGGAATAAATAAGTCTCCCCAGGAAGATGCTTTTTGAGACACTTAGGGAACTCCAGCTCAAGGGAAGCTACAGTGACTAAAGGTGGAACTCATCAAAGAACAGACCTGGGAGAACCTACGTACACACCATCTATACCTAGTTACAACCTCTTTGGGGAAAAATAATTATTATCCCTTAAATTAAGATCTGAGATGGAAAGAGTTCTGAACAATTTGTTGTAGTGTTTGACACTGCAGGGCACCCCCATCCCAAGGTTTAGTTTCAAAAGAAATAGAGGGAAGGAGCCTTGAGACCTCCTTAAGCTGCTGGCCGCCTCCCTGAGATTACCCTCCAGAGGGCAGCCTGCACATCAGGGTTCCTGAGGCTATAGATGAGTGGGTTCACCATGGGGTTGATGACAGTGTTGAAAATCCCAATAGCTTTATCCTTATCTGAAAGTTTGATGGAGCCAAGTCTCATGTAGTTAAAGATGCCTGCGCCATAGAATATGGCAACCACAGTAAGGTGAGAGCTACATGTGGAGAAGGCTTTCTTCCTGCCTTCAGTAGAGCGAATTCGCAGAACTGCAGCTGCCACGTGGATGTAGGAGGTGAAAATGAGTGCCATGGGGGTTCCTGCCATTATGAAACCCACTGCAAAGAGCAGCAGCTCATTGATCTGGGTGCTGGAGCAGGAGAGCTGGAAGAGCTGGGGCAGGTCACAGTAGAAGTGATTGATCACATTGGGGCCACAGAAGTCGAGTGTAGATATGGCCACAGTGTGGGTCAGTGCATTGCTGAAGGCACAAGCCCAGGAAGTGGCCACCAAGATCCTCTGGACTGTGTGGTTCATTCGGGTGCTATAGGTGAGGGGCCGGCAGATGGCCAGGAACCTGTCATAAGCCATGGCTGTCAACAGGAAACAGTCAACCCCAACCAGCAGATGGAAGAAGAAGAGCTGTGTGAGGCAGTCTCCATATGGAATTGTGCGCTTGTGGGACAAGAGCCGAACCAACATGGAGGGAATAGTGACACTGATGCACCCCACGTCCATCACTGACAGATTCCCCAGGAAGAAGTACATGGGAGTGTGGAGTTTGGATTCCACCAAGACAGCTGCCAGGATGCTAAGGTTGCCCCCAACCGTGGTCATGTAAGCCAAGAGGAAGAGTATGAAGACCACTGGCCACAGCTCTGGTGTCTCCACCAAACCCAGCAGAATGAATTCAGTAACTGTTGTTCCATTGGCTCTAAGCTTTGGCTGCATGAGTTCCTCTAAAGAAACAAAAGAGTAGGAAAACAATCAGATCTCTCAATGAATTAGGGGAATTTCAATCATAGCTGCTAGAAAACTTACCAATTAGAAACTTAAAAGAGGGTCTTAATATCATTCCCTCCCTTCCCTTTCCTCCCTCCAAATGATACAATAATCTTAAAAAATAAAAGAAGAGAGTCATCTGACGCAAGCGACCTGCCTGCTGGACCCAGTTGGGCGGTGGCGGGTTACGAACACCGAACACCCAGAGGCAGCCCCCAGAGGCAGCCCGGCCTACATCTGCCAGCCCAGGTAGGCCAGGAAGTGTTTCCAGTTCTCGTTTGTCATCGTTGCTCAGAGTCACCTGACACAAGTGACCATACGGAGTTCGGCAGCGGGATCCGACACCCGGAGGCCTGGTGACAGCTCTGCCTCCAACTGCCGTCCC